AACACAGGGAGCCCAGCGTGGCACTCTGTGATCACCTAGAGGGTGGGGCTGGGGGAGGAGGGAGGCTCAAGAAGGAAGAGGTATACACACAGTTATGACTGATTCACCTTGTTGTATGGCAGAAACCAACACAAAATTGTAAAGCAATTTTCCTCCAATTAAAAAATAAATAAAAAAACTCTCAAAATTAGTACAGTACAGAAATCTGTTGCATTTCTATATACTAGCAATGAACTATCACAAACAGAAATTAAGAAAGCAACCCCATTTACAATCACATCAAAAAGAACAAAATACCTAGGAATAACTTTGACTAAGGAAATAGAAGACCTCTTTTTGGAAAACTACAAAACACTGATGAAAGAAATTGAAGACAACACAATCAGATGGAAAAATATGGATTTAAAGAGTTAACATTATTAAAGTCACTTTTATACCCAAGGAACCATACAGATCCAGTGCAATCCCAATCAAATTACCAATGGCAGTTTTCACAGAACTAGAACAAAAAATTCAAAAACTTGTATGGAAGCACAAGAGGCCTCAAATAGCCAAAACAATTTAAAGAAAGCAAGCACAATCCTGGAGGTACAACACTCCCTGATGTGAAAGTATACTACAAAGCTACACTAATCAAAACAGTAGAGTGATGGAACAAAAACACATACCGAGATCAATGGAATAAAACAGATTCCAGAAATGAATCCACACTTTAAGGGTAATTAATCTGATAAAAGTGGCAAGAAGTACAGTGCATAAAAGACAGTCTCAACAAGTGGTGTTGAGAAAAGTGGACAGCTATGTGAAAAAAAAATCAAACAGGTCTCCTTTCTGACACCACATACACAAATAAATTCAAAATGAATTAAAGACTTAAATGTAAGACTTAAAAGCATAAAACTTCTAGAAGAAAACTAGCACTATACTACTTGACAGCAGTCTTCACTATAGTTTTTTGGATATATCTTTTCAGGTAAGGGAAACAAAAATTAAAATAAAAAGATAGGATTTCATCAAACTCAAAATCTTTTGCACAGCAAAGGGAACTATCAACAAAACCACAAGGCCACCTACTGAATGGGAGACTTTATTTGTAAACAATATATCTGATAATGGGTTGATATCCAAAATATACAAAGAATTCATACAACTCAGCATCAAACAAGCAAGCAACACAGTTGAAAAATCAGTAGAGGGACTGAAGGAATATCTTTCTGAGGAAAACATACAGATAGCCAACAGGCTTGTGAAAAGTTGTTTAACATAACTAATCACCAGGGAAATGCAGTCAAAATTATAGTGAGATATCATCTCACATCTGTCAGAATAGTTATTATGACAGATTATTATTATGACAGTTATTATTCATTACAGTGACAAATAACAAGTCTTCATGAGGATGCAGAGAACACTTGTGCACTGTTGGTGGGAATGTAAATTGGTGTACCCACTATGGAAAAAAACATGGAGACTTGCAAAAAATAAAGAATAAAACTACCATATGACCCAGAAATACCACTCCTGAGTACCTACCCAAACAAAATAAAAATAGTATTAGAAAACATACACACACCCCAATGTTCATGGCAGAACTATTTGCAATAGACAAAATGCAGAAACAACCTAAATGCCCATTAGTGGATGAATAGATAAAGAAGACATGGCAAATATATGTGATGGGTTATTACTCAGTCATTAAAAAAATGCAATCTTGCTATGTACAACAACATGGATGGACCTAGAGGATATTATTCTAAGTGAAATAAGCCAGACAGGAAGAGACAAATTAAAAAAATTGAAAAAAAGAAAAAAGAAAGAAAAAGACAAATATTTTATGATTTTGTGTGATAAAAAAATCAAATAACAAATATATCAAAAACAAACAATTATAGGTACAGAGAACAAATAGGTATTCTCCAGAGGCAGGGTATAGCAGAAGCAAAGAAATAAGTGAGGGAGATTAACATGTGCAAACTTCCAGTTGCAAAATAAATGAGTCATGTGTAGGGAATGTACATAATGTAGTAAAATGTACAGTGTAGGGAATATAATCAATAAGAATGTAACATGGTGACAAGTATGTATGGTAACAATCATAGCTAGACTTCCGGTGATTGGTTTGAAATGTATAGAAATATTGTTTAGAAAGATGGTACTGATGATCCTACATGTGGGGCAGCAAAGGAGATACAGATGTAAAGAGCAAATTTCGGACTCAGTGGGAGAAGGTGAGGTTGCGATGATTTGAGAGAATAGCACTGAAACATGTACATTATCATATGTAAAATAGATGGCCAGTGCAAGTTTGATGCATGAAGCAGGGCACCCAATGCTCTGGGACAACCCAGAGGGACAGGGTGGGGAGGGAAGTGGGAGTGGGGTTCAGGATGGGGGGGACACATGTATACTTGTGGCCGATTCAGGTTGATGTATGGCAAAAAACATCACAATATTGTAAAGTAATTATTCTCCAATTAAAATAAATAAATTTAAAATAAAAAAAGAAATATCAAATTACTGTGTCATGTTATAGCAACCAACACAATTTCTTAGGTCAGTTATACTGCAAAAACAGGCAAACTCATAGCAAAAGATGGTAAACCAGTAATCAGGGTGTGGTAGGGGGGAGGGGAATTGAATGAAGGTAGGTGAAAGCTACAAACTTCAAAGCTATAGGATAAATAAGTTTTAGGGGTGTAATGTACAACATGATAAATATAATTACGACTGCTGCATGTTATATATGAAAGTTATTGTGAGAGTAAACTGAGTTCTCATCACAAGAAAAAAAAATTTTTTGTACATCTTTAATTTTGCACTATAAGAGATGATGGATGCTCACTAAAGTTATTGTGCTTACTACTTCATGGTGGTGTATGTCAATTATGGCTCAAAAAAACTGGAAGAAAAATAATAAAATGCAGACTTTAGCCCCTTCTCCCCAAATAATAAATTAGATTAATTATATAGCATTTTCTGAATTTTCCAGATCGGAATTTCACAACATATCTAGTCCCAGGGGTATTAGACAAAGTATTGCTAATGTACCTTGAGGGAAAAATAATTTTTAGAGTAGGATTTTTAATCTAGTCAAAATGATTCTTAAATATGAGAACTTCAATAACTACTTTCCTGTATTCAAGCCTTAGTAGTTTTGACAGATAGATCACATGGAGACGTCTATTGGAAGTAACTAGTCAATATGTTAATATTGACTAGGTTAATATGTAAGGAAGATGGAGCTTCCCAGGTAGCTCAATGGTAAAAGGATCTGCCTGCCAATGCAGGAGATGCAAGAGACACAGGTTTGATTCCTGGATCAGAAAGATCCCCTAGAGAAGGGAATGACTACCCAATCCAGTATTCTTGCCTGGAAAATTCCATGGACAGAGGAGCCTGGTAGATGATAGTCCATGGGATCACAAAAAGTCACGACTGAGCAACTGAGCATACACACCACATATAAGGAAGTCGAGAAAAACTGTAAGCTGAAAGGTAAATAAAAGTGAAAACTTAACCTGACTAGGTGTGTCTGCCTATGTCTTAAGATTAATAAAGCTCAGTCTGAAGAAAAAAGGAGGAAGTATGTCAACATGGTTGAGGGAGGGAGGAAAGACAAAGAATATGATAGTACACTAACATATTTGTCTTAAACGTTAAGTAAGATAGGGGTATGAGTAAAAAGCAAAACAAAAATTACTAACTCCTCCCCCTCAAAAAAAAAAAAATCAAGAAAGGAGAATATAGAAGTATCATAAATTGAAACGAAGAGAAGAAACAAGATAATATATGTTAACTGTCAGCATAGACACAAAGAATCTAACTGGCTAAGCTTAAGTGAAAACTTGGCCAACTTGGATTTAGGAAATCAGCCAATGTATTTTTAACAGAAGATCATTTGATGGTGGAAAATAAAAGAAAAATATTTTATCATAAAATATGTTAAAGAGTACCTAAATATGAAAACAGTAGCTAAAATATGTAAAGAGTACCTAACAGAAAAGCAGTTTATCTATGTAGTCTAGTTTTAAACAGATCTGAAATAAAAAAGTATCATCAGAACACAACACAATGATAAAAGGTACAACTCCTAGGGAGATACAACAGTTTTAATTGTCTATTTACCTACTAAAAGAAAATATAATAGTATGATTAAGATTGTTTATCTAACATACAGAAGATTCTGAAATGAATATTAAAAAATCTTATATTCTAGTCAAAAAAAAATCTTATATTCTAGTCAAGCACATATGAAATATTATTGCATCAGGTCATTCAGAAAGTCTTTAAACAATTCTAAAAGTAGACAATAGAAATCTGCTTGTAATTGCCTCTCCGTGCATCTCTTTTATGCTGTGCCAAAAAAAAAAAAGTTATTAATTTTCAGGAAAGCAGAAAGTAATTCTAAGAGAGAGTGAAATAACAACTCTGGCAGCAGGTATAGAATGAAGTCCTAAAGAAAAATTAACTGTTTTAAGGGAGGTAGAGAAGCCATATTTTGTATAACTGTATTTGTGGAATTGAAACGTACTCTGCTCTGTGGGTGTGTGTTTTCAAAGATTAGGATAATATCACACAATATAGTTTTATATCTGGTTCTATTTTTTACTCAATATTTTTTATGATATTTTATCATGCCCCTATCTGGACTTTTACCCAGGCCCCCACCATAGCCACTAAGTTTCCTGTGCATCTTTTGGGGAAGGAAAGCAAATACTGTCTAAATATAACTCAGGCCGATAGTTGCCTGCGGAATACATTTTAATATCTTCTATTGTCAAAATGCATCTCCCTTTGTTCAAGCTTTAGCTATGGTGGAATGAAATGTCTATTATTTGTCTAGGCAGTAAATGTTTAGAATCAAGTTACTGCTGTTTTCACTTTTCTGAATATAGTTGATACCAAGCCATTCCCCCCAAATCCATCCAACCTCCCCTTGTCCTCTTGAGGTTACCAACCAGATACCCAGAGCTCTCAACAAGAATTCCTACTCATCTTACCTCAGTGGAGATGTCTTCCACAGTAGTCCAGATCTTGAGGTTTTCTTTAGAAATATAAAAATCACTGTTTAAGTAGGATGATAAATCAGTAAAGCTCTCAGAGACTGAACTGCCAAGTTGTGTAATCTCCTGAAGGGCAGCGGGAAAAGAAGTATTTTGAAAGATAACAGGCAAAAAGGGAACTGACAAGTCAAAACCCTTGATTTAGTGCTGGCTACCTTGTACTGTACTTTCCCAGAGAGAGGGACGTTATGAAACAGTATTGAGACTCCTCCCACCAATGTTCTTAGCTTTCGATTTCCTCAGTCAGAGAAAACAATTTATTTCCTGTAAATATCTTACTCAAAAACAAAGAATTATGGCAAGGTTACACTCAAATTTGTTTTTAATTATAAATGTTGGCAGATGAAGAGTTCCAAGATTAGAACTTCCTTATCCAGAAGACTTACATGTGAGTCATTAAAAATCTATATTCACTTGAATGACTCTCATACATAACAGAAGTAAGGTGAGTCATCTGGCTACTTAGGCTTATTTACTGTTGTTGGTGCTGCAGTGGCAAGAGAAGAAGTTGGAAGATCCATCTTTCTACTTTCTTCTTTTTTTTTTGTCTGAAACTCCTGGGAGTGATTTTTCTATAAGTTATCTATTGGTTTAAATAGGACCTAAAACATTCACCATTATCTCACTCATCTCACATACTAGCAAAGTAATGCTCAAAATTCTCCAAGCCAGGTTTCAACAGTACATGAATGGTGAACTTCCAGATGTTCAAGCTGGTTTTGCAAAAGACAGAGGAACCAGAGATCAAATTGTGAACACCCGCTGGATCATTGAAAAAGCAAGTGAGTTCCAAAAAGCATCTATTTCTGCTTTATTGCCTATGCCAAAGCCTTTGACTGCATGGATCACAACAATCTGTGGGAAATTCTTAAAGAGATGGGAATACCAGACCACCTGACCTGCCTTCTGAGAAATCTGTATGCAGGCCAAGAAGCAACAGTTAGAACTGGACATGGAACAACAGACTGGTTCCAAATCAGGAAAGGAGTATGTCAAGGTTGTAAATTGTCACCCTGCGTATTTAACTTATATGCAGAGTACATCATGAGAAACACTGGGCTGGATCAAGATTGCCAGGAGAACTNATCGGGAAAGGAGTATGTCAAGGTTGTAAATTGTCACCCTGCGTATTTAACTTATATGCAGAGTACATCATGAGAAACACTGGGCTGGATCAAGATTGCCAGGAGAACTGTCAATAATGTCAGATATGCAGATGACACCATCCTTATGGCAGAAAGCCAAGAACTAAGGAGCCTCTTGATGAAAGTGAAAGACATGAGTGAAAGAGTTGGCCTAAAGCTCAACATTCAGAAAACTAAGATCATGGCATTCGGTCCCTTCACTTCATGGAAAATAGATGGGGAAACAATCAAAACAGTGACAGACTTTATTTTGGGGGAAGCCCAAATCACTGAAACTGTTCTGTTCATGGGGTTCTCAAGGCAAGAATACTGAAGTGGTTTGACATTCCCTTTTCCAGTGGACCATATTTTGTCAGAACTCTCCACCATGACCTGTCCGTCTTGGGTGACCCTACACGGCAAGGCCTATAGTTTCACTGAGTTCAATAAGGCTGTGATCCATGTGATTAGATTGGTTATTTTTCTGTGATTGTGATTTTCAGTCTGTCTGCCCTCTGATGGAGAAGGATAAGAGGCTTATGGAAGCTTCCTGATGGGAGAGGTTGACAGGAGGAAACTGTATCTTGTTCTGATGGGCAGGGCCATGCTCAGTAAATCTTTAATCCAATTTTCTGTTGATGGGTGGAGCTGTGTTCCCTCCCTGCTATTTACCTGAGACCAAACTATGGTGGAGGTAATGAAGATAATGGTGACCTCCTCAAAAGATCCCATGCAAGTAATGCTACACTCACTTGCCCCCAAACCTGAAGCAGGCCACCACTGACTCATGCTTCCATTGGAGACTCCTGAACACTCACAGGCAAGCCTGGTTCAGTCTCTTGTGGGCTCCCTGCTCCTTTCTCCTGGGTCCTGGTGCACACAAGGTTTTGTTTGTGCTCTCTAAGAGTCTGTTTCCCAGTCTTGTGTAAGTTCTGGCAGCTCTGTGGTGGGGTTAATGGCGACCTCCTCCAAGAGGGCTTACGCCATTGAACCCACAGCCCCTGTCCCTGTGGCAGTCAACTGCTGACTCACACCTCCACAGGAGATGCTTTCGAACACTGAAAGATGAACTCCCCAGGTCGGTAGGTGCCCAATATGCTACTGGAGATCAGTGGAGAAATAACTCCAGAAAGAATGAAGAGACGGAGCCAAAGCAAAAACACCACCCAGTTGTGGATGTGACTGGTGATAGAAGCAAGGTCCAATGCTGTAAAGAGCAATATTGCATAGGAACCTGGAATGTTAGGTCCATGAATCAAGGCAAATTGGAAGTGGTCAAACAGGAGATGGCAAGAGTGAATGTCGACATTCTAGGAATCAGCGAACTAAAATGGACTGGAATGGGTGAATTTAACTCAGATGACCATTATATCTACTACTGTGGGCAGGAATCCCTTAGAAGAAATGGAGTAGCCATCATGGTCAACAAAAGAGTCCGAAATGCAGTACTTGGATGCAATCTCAAAAATGACAGAATGATCTCTGTTCGTTTCCAAGGCAAACCATTCAATATCACGGTAATCCAAGCCTATGCCCCAACCAGTAATGCTGAAGAAGCTGAAGTTGAACGGTTCTATGAAGACCTACAAGACCTTTTAGAACTAACACCCAAAAAAGATGTCCTTTTCATTATAGGGGACTGGAATGCAAAAGTAGGAAGTCAAGAAACACCTGGAGTAACAGGCAAATTTGGCCTTGGAGTACAGAATGAAGCAGGGCAAAGGCTAATAGAGTTTTGCCAAGAGAACGCACTGGTCATAGCAAACACCCTCTTCCAACAACACAAGAGAAGACTCTACACATGGACATCACCAGATGGTCAACACCGAAATCAGATTGATTATATTCTTTGCAGCCAAAGATGGAGAAGCTCTATACAGTCAGCAAAAACAAGACCGGGAGCTGACTGTGGCTCAGATCATGAACTCCTTATTGCCAAATTCAGACTTAAATTGAAGAAAGTAGGGAAAACCACTAGACCATTCAGGTATGACCTAAATCAAATCCCTTATGACTATACAGTGGAAGTGAGAAATAGATTTAAGGGACTAGATCTGATAGACAGAGTGCCTGATGAACTATGGATGGAGGTTCATGACATTGTACAGGAGACAGGGATCAAGACCATCCCCAAGAAAAAGAAATGCAAAAAAGCAAAATGGTTGTCTGAGGAAGCCTTACAAATAGCTGTGAAAAGAAGAGAAGCAAAGGAGAAAAGGAAAGATATACCCATTTGAATGCAGAGTTCCAAAGAATAGCAAGGAAAGATGAGAAAGTCTTCCTCAATGATCAGTGCAAAGAAATGAAGGAAAACAATACAATGGGAAAGACTAGAGATCTCTTCAAGAAAATTAGAGATACCAAGGGAACATTTCATGCAAAGATGGGCTCAATAAAGGACAGAAATAGTATGGACTAAACAGAAGCAGAAGATATTAAGAAGAGGTGGCAAGAATACACAGAAGAACCATTAAAAAAAGATCTTCATGACACAGATAATCATGATGGTGCGATCACTCATGTAGAACCAGACATCCTGGAATGTGAAGTCAAGTGGGCCTTAGGAAGCATCACTACAAACAAAGCTAGTGGAGGTGATGGAATTCTGGTTGAGCTATTTCAAATCCTAAAAGATGATGCTGTAAAAGTGCTGCACAAAATATGCCAGCAAATATGGAAAACTCAGCAGTGGCCACAGGACTGGAAAAGGACAGCTTTTATTCCAATTCCAAAGAAAGACAATGCAAAAGTGTGCTGCAGTCCATGGGGTCGCAAAGAGTTGGGCATGACTGAGCAACTGAACTGAACTGAAATTACTGATGGTGACTGCAGCCATGAAATCAAAAGACACTTGCTCCTTGGAAGAAAAGTTATGACTAACTTAGACAGAATATTAAAAAAGCAGAGATATCACTTTACCAACAAAGGTCCCTCTAGCGAAAGCTCTGGTTTTCCCAGTAGTCATATGGAAGTGAGAGTTGGACTATAAAGAAAGCTGAGCACTGAAGAATTGATGATTTTGAACTGTGGTGTTGGAGAAGACTCTTGAGAGTTCCTTGTACTGCAAGGATATCAAACCAATCAATCCTAAAGGAAATCAGTCCTAAATATTCACTGGAAGGACTGATACTGAAGCTCCAATACTTTGACCACCTGATGCGAAGAACTGACTCATCGGAAAAGACTCTGATGCTGGGAAAGAATGAAGGCAGAAGAAGGGGCTGACAGAGGATGAGATGGCTTGATGGCATCACCAACTTGATGGACATAAGTTTGAGTAAGCTCTGGGAATTGGTTATGGACAGGTAAGCCTGGCATGCTGCAGTCCATGGGGTCACAAAGAGTTGGACACGACTGAGCAACTGAACTGAAAACATTCACCCAGTTAATGATTGACACACCTGGAACTTGACAAAACTTTTATTTCTGTAAAAGATCATTACAAATATATCAATCTTTTGTCAGATAATAGAAGCAAGTACTAGTTGCCCTTCTGACTATGATTAGCTACCTAACCTCACTGGTTAAATTCACAATTATTTATCATGCTTTCTCATGAGTCATGGATAAACATAAGTGGCTAGTGGGTTTATTTCATGACAACTTTGAAATCTTGCAAATTCTGGAAGGACACTGAACCTCTGGAATGAGACAGGTCTGATAAATAATTTGGTCTATGGTGTTACTTCAGTGAAGGACAGTGGATACCTTCTGGAATACCATACACCCTGAGGTGTCAAAGAAACAGCATGAGCCAGCAGACATTATATTGGTTACTCACCAGCTGATCTGTAAGGAGAGTGAGATGACTGCAAATGGGCCCTAAAAGACCATCAATGTTTGTAGATTAACAGATTGATAACAGATTACTGTTATCAATAAGCACAATTCAGAGTAATGCTCCATAATTCTTACTGTGCAGTTGACATTGTAATAGATGAAGCAAAGGAGTGCTGAAAACCCTTTGGTCTGCCAAGCTAGTTAAGGTTTATAGAATTTCACTCTCAGGAGGATGACACATATGGCATGGAGGCAGACAGACACTCAGTTGTACAAACCAAGA